CTCTCTCTCTCTCTCTCTCTCTCTCTCTCTCTCTCTCTCTCTCTCTCTCTCTCTCTCTCTATTTTTCTCTCTTCAGTCTCTCCGTGCTTTTGCTCGCGAAGAGAGAAAAAAAAAAAAAAGTCAGTTCATTTCAGTCCTGATTTATCTCTCGCGAAAGCGGACGAAAAGCTTTCAGATCGGACATTAGCATTGACACTTTGTTACAGCGTGATTCCTGCTTCTTCGCTCTCGCAAATTGTCTCTTAATAGGAAGGCGACAGTGCAGTTTTTCGATCGGTTTATTTTGATCGTTTATTAATGTAAGACGACGGTCTCTCTTTAATCGAGCCGCGCACGGTTCTCGATACTGACAACGGCTGGTCTTTCTGACACGCTCCCAATAGTAGAAACAGAGGAAAAGTGCAAAAGAAAGAAAGAAAGAAAGAAAGAAAGAACGAACGAACGAACGAACGAAACATTTTGCAGTTATCCAACAACGAAACGTCGTCGTTTGGGAACGTCGCCGCAAGCTGCGTCATCGGCACAACTTTTACACACTACCACTAATCCAACACCCCTTTTCTGCCGCGCCATCGTCTACCCCCTCGTTTCTTTGAGACACGACCCTCTCTCGTTTCCCAATCTCGAAAATCCAATTATACAGACACAACGCGCCTCGTCCTCGAAATTAGTTGAAACCGATCCTGTCTTTGTTGCAGATGGACATGAAGTCTGTCGGGTCGTTCTACTACGAGAACTTTGTAAGTGCAGAACCTAAACATAGAATCATAATTCATACGGCTGTAATCCATTTCTAATGCGCGTATCACTCCGCTCGCGATCAGTACGCATCTATCTCCAAGAGACTTTAATTTCTTGCAGCGTTATATGAAAATTCTTTCTGAAAAATCCTCGCAAGCATCTCGAATATGGAACATTATCTATACATTTTAGCGGGATATCGGAGAGTTTTCCTTTTTTTTGTAAAACAGTGATAATATCGCCGGGATGCAAATGCGACATCTCCCGACTGTGTGATGGTATAATCACTGTTTTCCGAAAAAAGTGTCGTAACAAGATACAGATCAACTCTTGCTAATTTATTACAAACGACAATAACGATTAGTTTGATTGTTGGACAAAAGAAGGTCAACCTTTCGACCGTCTTGTCGTGGAAAACGTCAAACCCGACGTCCGCTGCACGGCTGGATCAAGAAAACCCACGCAAAAAAGAACAATAATATCGTGTCCCCGGCCGAAAAACGGAGTCGAGGCTTTCATAAGAGGAAGCTTCCGCTCGTGTGGCCACGCCGCGCTCACGCGTCATAAGCTCATTCTAATCGCAAATCTTTTCGCAATTCTTTTTGCAGGCCTTCCCAGGAATGGTTCCGTATAAACGACCGGCGGCCGACAAGTCCGGCGTGCCGGTCTATCAGCCTACCGGTGCGACGACCTATCAGCAGTTAATGCAGCTGCAGCAGCCCTTCGTGCCTGTGTCATGTGAGTACACTGGAACACCACCCCTACCCACCCAAACCTCTAACCAATCGGTCGTGCAACCCCCGAACGTGCAAAGCAACCATCACGCGATGGTGGTGCAATCCTCCTCCCAGGGAGCCGCTGGCGCCACAGTCAATAACTGCGCCGACGCCAACAATGGCGTGCTGATGGATCCCTGCAACAATCCGCCGCCGCCACCTCCGAACGCTGACAATAACAGTAACAATAGTAACGGCAATAACAAGCAGCCGATTACAACGCAGAATCACGATATTGAAAATGCGCGCAACTCCCCCGAATTGAATCACTCGAGTCCATCGTCGCTGCAGCAGCAGCAGCAGCAACAACAACAACAGCAGCAGCAACAGCAGCAGCAGCAGCAACAGCAGCAGCAGCAGCAGCAGGTGCAACAACACCAACAACAGCAACAGCTCAATCAGCTGGCGTTGCCACCGGCGATGAGTCCGTTGACCTCGATGGCCGGCCTGACCTCGATGCCAGGCGTGATGAACATGGCCTCGATGGCCTCCATGGTCTCCATGGCGACCATGTCACCGATAACGAACATGACCTCCAATTATAACGCTGCCTCCAATATGGCGAGTCTAAATGTGCTCAATAGCCTTGGAATGGCATCCGGCTTACCGGGCTCTCTCGATCCAGCGACTCTGGCGAAAGAGGTCGCCCAGAAAAACTACGCTAAGGCCATCAAGCTCTCGCAGGCCTCCCAGTCTTACGGCATTGGCCAGCTCGCCGCGCTCAATTACACCGGCGTAGCTTTGAACAAGCAAAACCTCATGAATCCCGCCGCGGCGGCGGCCGCTGGGAATCCCGCGATGGCGGCAGCCAGTCTGCAAGCCACCGCGGCGACTCCCAGACCCGTCATCCCCGGTCTGGCCGGTATCCCAGGCGCCTTGACCTCACCGCTGTCCGCGGGTATTCTGGCGTACTCGAGACCGCCGCCCACAGCGACCCCCATAAATCCATACTCCTTGATCAGACAGCAGATCTTGCCGAATCCGTACGTCCAGGCGTCGATACCAGGCATGCCCGGTGCTGCGGCCATGCAGACCGCGCCCTACGTTCAGAATCCCTATGCCGTTCTACCTGGAGTGGCCGGTGTACCCGGGGTAGCGGCCGGCGTCGCGGCCGCGGCTGCGGCCGCGGGTGTACCGACCGTGCCGCAGATACCGCAGATAGGCAATCCGGCGACGATAGCGGCGCAGCCGCAGGTAGCGATCCCCGTGAGCTCCGGGGTGATCATGCAACCGTACAAGAAGATGAAGACGTCGTAAAGACGTCTCCCTGCCTACCGGCTCGTCGGGGGAAGACTCGTCTCTTCTCACGAGAGAGTGCCGTTCCTTTCCTCGGGCACCTTCCGTTCTCTCCCTCGCGGGAACGAACCAACGATTACGCTAAGCGACAGTCGCTAGTCGGATAATAATCGCCGTCGTCGCGGCGATCGCGGATATATTGGCGTATTTTAGATAATTCTAGAGTATCTTTACGATTAGCGCTCAATTTAGCGCCGAGACGAATGATGGATCGTAACAGTTGCTGTATTACGAATAGAACTTCGCGATTATATTTTCGTAGTCTCGTAGTTTCAGTCTCAGAGATAACGATAACGATAACAGATGGCTATTCGCGTTTAGAGGTGATAGCGTTTACGGAAGCGAAAGGTTCTCTTTAAGATTAATTAATAAAATACACCAAATCTATACGATTGAAACAAATGAATATTTGGTACATTAGTTTATATAATCCAGTGGAAATTAGTTCTAGAATATGTTATACCTTTTGAAATAAATTACATATTGGAGTCAACTGGAATTGAACTCCTTTATTCATACGTTGTTGATTTGATTTTCTATATTTTGCTAATAAAGATTAGAGAAAAGAAGGGGCGAAAAAGAGAGAAAGAGAAAGTATATATACATACATAATATATACATTCTTTATAACGTTCAAAAAAAAAAAAATGTCGAATTGCAATCTATTAGCTTTAATTTTATTAAACGATCATGTATTTAAATTCTTCGATCATCACATCGATAGAGTTAAAAAAAATTGTAGAAAAGTGCAGTCTTACGATATTAATCTCCATCTTCGGTGCTCAAGAAGCGAGAAATCGGTCTTCGTTCGCGAGAGGGACGGAATATTCAGTTGAGCGATTGCGAGGCAAGAGATAAGATGCTGATATGAAAAACACAAGTTCCGAAAATAGATTCATTTTCTAGTCAGACATTGTCGGTGAACAGTGCCTTATTGACTCAATTCCATTTGGAGCGTTATAAGCGTACAATTACAAAAAAAGAAGGGTGAACGCGAGGAACGGTGATTCATGAACGAGGGAGCATGGGGATTTTTTCCCATGATATTACCTGCTTGCTTAAATGACTGAAAGAGAGAAAGAGACGTAACTACCGTTCCGATTCTTATTTCTGTCGAAATAAACCTGAATTTAATTTCTACTTGGAAATTTCGACTTGCCGGTAAAGACTGCGTTCGAAAGAGGGCGGGAAATTGAGCGTGGCCAAAAAAAGTCACGAATTACATACGTTAATCACCTATTTTACTATTTCATCTTTTTTCTAGAGTAATGGCGATTTGCTATATACTTTATAAAGATAGTTTAACTTTGCCGATTAGCATTATTTTACCGCAAAGAACTATCGAAAGTGTGTTACGTGGCTCCGTCATGTTTTTTTTTTTTAACAAGCTAAATTGTAAATAAGTCAATTTGCGTCATCAAATGGGCGCCGCAATATTATTATTTCGGAATTGCAAGTTTTTGTGCTGTAACCATTCGTCCAAATTTTAACGTATAACGTCCGCCACAAGGAAGATGAACATGTCGCTCGGCCTACGTCACGTTATGTGCGATACTTGCCTTTAAGTCCGTAGCGTTAATCAGCGTTTGCGATTGGAGCTCTGGAAGTAATTATTACACCAAGTTGGATTATTTTATTAGAGCTCGGTTTGCTTTTGTTTATATTTTATATTGTAGTAATATGTTTAAAATTTTATTTTACTTGTTTATTTTTAAAGAAAATTAAATAATATTAAATTTTTAAAAAATCGCGCAAGTCACATTGCTTTCGACCTTTTAGAAAATATCATATGCGGCGCATTTGGAAAAAAAAAAAACCCCCTATTTTCTTCGTTATCGCATGATAATATTTTGAATTATTACGAGGCTCATGCGTGATATATTTGTTAATATTTAAAGAAAAATGTTTTAAAATTTTTATCGACTTGACCCATCTTCTCTTTTAGTTTAGATATAAGAATATATAGATTATTTGCCTATATTTGGCAACGTATATATATTTCC